TGGTAAGTAATCAGCAGGTATTGACAACCTTGATAGTAGTGAATGACAAGTAGTCAGCAAACATTGATAACCTTAACAGTAGTGAATGATAAGTAATCAGTAAGCATTAATTAACAATTTATCAAAACCAATTCTTTTCAGCCTCTCCATCATATCATATTACAACTTGAACACTAAAATCATATGTTAAAAAATCACTGAACACTGCAAGTAGAAAAAATTGTCACTTTATATCAGTAACTTAATTTAGATTGCCAATGACAACCTTCACAGCGTCTGATCATAAGTCCATGACAACCTATTTACAAGTACAGCAAAACAGAGATATGATATTATATCATATTACAACCAGATGTCATTTACCATTTTATATATATGTATAATGTAACTATACCAAATTTACACTTTATCTACAAGGTCCATAAATGTACACTTATAAAAAATTATTGTGAATTTTATAACCATTCAATTACTTTCTTTTCCCACCATTGTTCTAAATTCTTCATATGATGTGCCTTTCTTTATCATTCTTGTTCTCACACCACCTCCAACATATTGCATTCCATCTTCTACACCATTAATAAATTGTCCCCCTATATGGAGATAACAGAACAAATGCTTCCCACTTGAAGTTGACATCCTTCATATCAATCTGTCACAATCACTTGTTAATAACAAGTCATACAATTACATTAACAACCTTCGATGTACCCATTAAAAAGACATTTAACCATCACATTATAGTGTCATTTTCATTTATTCTTATCAGAAGCACAGCATCAATCACCAAAAAACAGAGCATCAATCACCGAAAAAGAGTAGTCTGAGAGAGCCTTCCTTGAAATGCTGCTATTCTCTTTATACTATTGTTCCTTGCTTCACCCAAGAGACCATATCCATGCATAAGATAAAAGCCATGAGGATTGGGTTCAGATTTGGCACTAATGACTGAGAGTGATTTAGGGCAGTTGCGAAGACGAAGATGATCCCGATAGGCAAAGAGAACGACTGAGGGTTTGAGGCGGGGAAAATACAGACCCAGATTAATGGGGGCACGTAGGTAATATCACATTGAAAATTTATTACCCACAGGTTCTTGGGGACTTAGGAAGAATTTCTGGATTTCAAGGGACTTTTTCTGAATAAATTGTCTTATGTGAGACCTGTGTGTAATTTTCCAAAATAAAAAGGGGAAGAGAGAGGTGGAAGAGAGGAGGAGGATTAGAGAGTTGGCCATGAGAAAAGACTAGAAGCTGACACCTGGCAGAACGGGCCCTGCGAGTAGGAAAAGTAACAGACTTGGTATTTTTGTCCTGTTTTGTACAATGGGTAAATTTACCCATTCGCCCTTTATATATTGATATATATTGTTCAATCAGAGGCGTGAACTTTTTTAACCATGTTAGGTGAGTTAAGCCTTTTCCAACATGGTTTGCATGTGAAATGAGTTTATTTCTTTTAACTATGAAAGTAGCTTTATAATTTTAAGATTTATTTTTTTCTATCATAGCTCTTCAACCTAGTTGGTTTTGATTAATAAAAAGTGGGTTTTAGAAGAATGGTTGTTACACTCTTCATGACTACAACTATAAAATTTCAAGAAAGCCTGTCAAATGCACTAGATAAGTCCACTTTTAATGTCACATGTTCCGTCCTTCCCTTTCTTTCTGAGTCAATTTGATTCATTTAGAGAACCAAAAACGGGACCAAACCGGCCAGTTCAACCAAAAAACCGATGAACCAGTCAGTGGTCTAGTTTGGTTCGGATGTTGAACTGGGAAGGAGGTGAACCGGTCAAACCGGATTGAACCGGTTGAACCGCGAATGATTTTGTTGCTATTGGTCCTATTTTCCTCATGTAACTCCTGATATATCAACCACTATAGACTTAAATGAATTTTAATGATAATTTTGGTATCAATAATTATTAATTTTAGTTATTGATGAACCATAAAGATTAAAATTCTTAATATCATTGTACTTTATTATTGTTACAATCAAACTATTATGTTTCCTTATATTTTGTTATTAGTGATTATTAACGTTGTTATATTTTGTTATTTTTAATTAAATTATACTCCCTCCATTCCTTAATATAAGAGACATTTGATGCTTATGGCATGTTCCTATATATAAGAGACACTTAGAAGTTGTCTCTATTTTTTTATGTTGATTTCCTATTTTACCTATATTTATTATCTTCAACTCTCACTCTCTCTCCTTCCCACTTCTCTTTTTTTGAATAATTTACTATTGTTCTCTCTCATGCTCTCTCTCCTTATTAATGAGGGCTTTTTTGGGAAAAAAATTATACCTTTTACACATTGATTATTTTTAACTACTTTTAACTGTTTTTTTATCAACGTAATTCAGTTATTTGTCTCTTATAATAAAGAACAGAGGGAGTATTATTTTAATATGATCAGTTAAACTCTGAGTTGACCCCAGTTCGACCAACTGACCATTGAACCACTACTTCAATCAGTTTAGTGTCCGTTCTGGTTTTTTGTTCCTTGGATTCATCAGATCAGACGCTAGCAAGATATTGTCATATATCATTCTTCCTTTAAGAAATGCACCTTGGCTTGGAGCAATAAGGTAATATGCTGCACAATATTTTGGACACTGTTTTATATGAAACATCACACAAACTGATGGATGAGAGCTTTCGTGCATTGGCGGAAGGGCTAATGTATTAAGATGTGTGCAAGGAAAAGATTGCACCCGTAGGTTGGAAAAAGCCATATCTAGTTGTTTAAGGACTAATGTGGACCCTAACCAATTATTTGACCATGTAAAAGCTGCACCATTATAAAATATACCTTTTTATGTCGCCTATTTATGTGTGTTAAATGTGAAACCAACATAAACAAAATAAGACAGTGAAATTTTTTTAAAAATAAATTGAAGTTAATTTAAGTTTTCACGTCTGTTATATGTACAACCGACATAATAAGCCTTCATGGTAAATAAAAAAAAGTCAGAAAAATCTCCGACTCTCTACAATGCCTTAGAAAACACCGTAATTTCCATTTACTATGTTAAAAGTCAGAAAAATCTCCGACTCTCTACAATGCCTTATAAAACACCGTAATTTCCATTTACTATGTTGATTATTTATAACACAACATAGTAAGTATTTTTCAGGTTGATAACCAACTTAAGTTTATAAACCCTAATATTATTGGGTTTTGATAGTCGTTTTTCACGGTTTAACTTCTTTTGTCTACGTGGTCTTCCACCCCTGCCATACTCCAAACTTAAATTGACGTTAATTTAAATTTTCACGTCTGTTTGCAAGTTTTTCTTTGTTTTTTTTCTCCATTCATTGTGTCGCGTTGTTTTTTCTTTTTAGGTTATTTGGTTCTTTGAAACAATAATGGATGATATGGGTAATATTTTCTTGAGTTAAAGACATGATTCTAACAATATATTGGATGTTGTGATAGATTAGAATATGTTGGGGCTATTTTATGGAAATTTTGAGTATATGATATTGGGATTGGATTTTACTGTTGTTAATTGACATGAAAAACTTGCTTATCTGTTATGGAGATCATTGAAATAGTTGTCGGAGCCTTACTATGTGATTATTTTTTATGTTATATTGGTTTTTTCATTTATAAGATATGTATTTTGAATATTTGGGATTTTTTTTTTGTTTGAGCAAGGTGAAAATTATTTGGACGAAGAATAAAAATTTTGGTTGAGCATCTAAAGTTTGACGATTACCCAACTTTATTTGAGCTTTCATTTTGAACTCAAAATTTTTACTCTAAAATGTGAAAATTGGGTTTAATGATTGATAATCTTAATTATTTGATATGATTGTTTTTGGAATACTTGTGGAATTTGTTTATTGGCTTTATCTTGCAAGCCGTATTGGCATGAGCAATATGGATTTATCTTTTAATTGTTGAGATTGGTCTCTTGTTTGCTACTACTAGATGTATATAATTGTGTGAAATTTTAAGATGTCTTATATTTTTGGAAAAATTCTACTAAAATCTTTGTAAAACAAGTAAGGCAATTCCTTAAATTTCTAATTAAGTATTGGTCAAGTCATTTTATTAAATCAAGTAGGCAATATTTGATTCAAATGGAATTAAGCATGAAAGTTTGATAGACTTTATGCTCATTGACAAGATAGTAATACAATGGGTTGTAGTTGTATGTTGTATGACAGAAAAAATTCACTCAAGAATGGACGGGATAAGAGAGAGATATGTTGTTATATTTGCATGAAGTGCTTGAACAAAAACCGATATTATACTCCTGTGACCATAAAGTATCTTATTTATTAGGAGTGTTCAAGACCGGTCCGTTCCGGCCCGAAATTTTTCGGGACAGGACAAACCTTCCTTTTTTTTTTAAATTTTTTATATAATATCATTTTTTCATTTTTTTCATATTTTTTTAAGATTTGAGACTATTGTATGGAACTATGATATATTTATTTAGAGTTTTTATATTTGTTAATGATTTGAGATTATTGATGATTAGAATTTTTAGCAAGTTTTTATTGTGTTAAAAGCTTCTGTTTAGAATTTTTAAGCTTTTGTTTAAGAGTGCCCAAACAAATAAAAAAGATGTTTTTATAAATTTAAGCTCAAAAAAATATAAAAAAATCAGATTTTTTTTTAAAAAAATTAAAAAAAATTAAAAAAATTAAAAGAAAATTAAAAAAATAATAATTTCGGAACGTCCCGGTCCCGTCCCATCCCGACCGGGACCAGGACATGAGACAGAAAATCTGTCCCGTTACTGTTCATCGGCACGGAACCGCGACGGGCCTGTCCCGGTCCCGATCCGTCCCGTGAACATCCCTATTATTTATAATGGGATAAATTTAATACATATAATTTGAACATTTTGTGATAAATTGGGGACACGATTTGTTGTATTTCATATTAAACTGTTGTTTTGCTGCGTACATTAAATCTACATTTGGAAAATGAATTTTTTGGGGCAAAACAAAAAATACTACACACACTGGATAATTTTAAATAGTACAATCTACTACGTATTCATTCATGCAGATATTCGATTTGTAACAGCATAAACCCAAACTAGATTGTTTTTTTAATCACTAATTCAGCTCTTAAAAAAAACTATGAATCATTGCTATTACAACCCTAAAACTAATCCAATTTCAAGACAATGCTTGTCATTCTATTCACACGGGAAGATTTTGCATGCTTCAAAATTACAAGAGTGATTATGCAAGTTTCTAATATTCTCAGGATATCAATGCGACATTCATTTTGGCCCCATTGGGATCCAGACTGTTCAGACTACCTTCTTGGTTTTACAATCACCCAAATATAAGTGCCAAAACATATTTTACCTCAAATACCATTTCCCAGCGGACGCCCATGACCAAGTACAAGAGTTAATATTTGATAGATTCAGCTATACAATGAAGCTGCATAAGATTACGCATCTGGCTTCTGCCCAGAAATGATGCTCATTGAGGTGGCATCTGATTTTCAGGAAGAACAGTCTCCTCCGAAGAGATGAAACTTTCAGCAGCACCGAACAAGCTGGCTAACTGCAGAATCACACTCTGTGGCAAGGAGCTTGAGGGCAGGACAGGTGTTGGAAGAGATGGGACACATATTGGAAGGAATTCCTTCTTATTGTGGATGGGAGCATATAGTGTTAGCACTGCCTGGCAGAAGAGGAATCTGCACCAAATGGAAAGTGAAATGAGAAATTAGCTAAGCTACTTGAGAGAAATTCATGAAATCTCCCTCACGGGTAAACTAAAATTTCCGATGGGATTTGAAGGGTCTAATCTCCATAACAGTCGAATAAGTTTTTGTCAGAACTGCGACACAAGGTCATTCATGAGCAAACTTGGGAAGACAGATAACAAATGCAGAAAATATGAAAATCATGCAATTTTCTATTTATGGAATGCATCCCATGATTCCAGCAATTTATCTGCGATTCTGCTCACCTTCTGATCCCTCCGGTGATACATATAGCTCAATAGCAAATAGGATTTCAAATTTCAAATCATGATAACTATGATCTCTAAAACTAAATAGTTGCTCCCATATCGTTCTAGTGCTATTTAAGTAGTATCTTATTCTGAATTACCAGCGAAAATCTTGAATGAGAAAGCAAATCTTCTGGGCATGCTTTGCATTACAAATACTTCAAGATATAGGTGAGCAAGCCTGTCCAGGGATAATATTAATGCCCAAGCTTCACTAAGTCAAAATGAACATCAAAATTTTAGAATTGAAGGAAGATATGACTTTCTCTTAGCTACAAATAGTTTAGTCAACTAAGTGGAAAGATTATGGAGGTTGTTTTGAAGGACCACTGGAGATTTTAACAAGGTTTTCCCCCTCAAAAGTGGTTAACGATGATATCAAAAAATTAGAAGGAAACAGATCCAGAAGTAGTATTCAATTAGAAGAGGTTTCCAGGTAACTAAAAACATAGCTAGGCATGAGAATGACAAGAGATTAGCATGACAGCAAGTTCAATCACCCTCCAAATCTCAACTCAATCATCAATCAAGTGATATTAATCATGAAGTACATGAACGATAACAAAAGTATAATGAGATGATTAACATTCTGTCAAAGACAATGCAATTCAACAGTGTTCAGACCCAACAACAAATATGTGTTAAGAGGACACGTAAGGCCTTTCTTACCTTAAAAGAAGTCGCCTTATGAAGGGATCACCTAAAATCTGTCCCCAGACAGGATTAAGCATATCTGATGTTGCCGAAGTCAGTCCCCAGTCACTGAATAATGATGAAAGCAGCTTCTCAGCTCTGTCATATGTGTCCTGACAATAGAATTGAACTTCTTAAGAGACCTCCAAATTTAGAAATTTCCTACCTCCAAAAAGAAAGAAACCAAAAATAGTAAAATGAAAAAATGAGGCCAATTCTCAAGCACCGTATCAATATCATTGCCCGAAAGACCAAGCAGCAGACAAAAAGCTTGCAGTGGAGCTGTCAGAAACATGGTGAACAGGCTCCCATGTAAATATCGTGACCAATCCGAAGAAGCAATTGGGGGTAAACAACCAGGAGAAAGAAGCATAGCGACTGACTCTCCTTTCTCTTTTCCAGCTATGGCCTGCATTTGATTCTGACCAATTAATTCTCAAATGTTCTAAATGAATTCGACTTGATATTAGGATGTGAAGGAACATACAATCATGATTTAGGAAAGCCCAAGGTAAAGACCTAGCCCCCAATGCGATGTTTCTTCTATTCGAAGTTATTTTTAAGAGTACCTAAACTTCAACACAATCAATTTTACCTTTCTCGTTGCCCCTAATTAAAATCTGAATCAAGACAGTCAAAACTTCATGTATGCAACAAATCCAGAAAAAAATATCGGATCAGAAATTATTGATAGTGCCTTACAATTTACAAATTAACACAAGTTATTCAATGAAATTCTTTATGCGCAATGTTTGGAGTAATGCATGGATAGTATAAGTAAAATCACTGTCCCCTACGTTCCACCTAATTTATGCGTAAACCAATCATATCTATACAAGTACATGTCATAGTACTAAAGTTCATTATGTAAACTAAAATATAGAGGTAATACTTGCCTTGAATGCCTCACTGCTTTCACTGTCAATGACTAATAGAAGTGGTCTCCTTGTAAATGGGAGAAAATCAGATGGATAAATGCAGTTTAATCCTGAAAAGTAATCAAGTTAAGTAACATTCTACAAGTCCAAGAGTACCATTCATAGCTCAAAAGATCTTTATACAATCAAGCATTCATCATATTATCCCAGGCCAAATTTATGGGCAGGGGAACTATTGAGATATGACAAAGCAACAGAGAGCTAAACCAGAGGAAGGTTAAATGAAAGGCAATGATCCATTCCGTCCGAAACAAGTTTCTAATTCAAAGCCCTAATTGTTACAATTGTTAGACCTTTTGAGTTTTGAGTCCCCTGTCCAACCATCCTTGGCTTATTTCAACATTGACAAAATTAACCCTTTGCTCTATCATATATATCGCAGAAAACAGGGACAAAAAAGCCAAACATATGATCATGATGAGACCTGTTAAGAGCATCTGCACGAACACAACATAAAACTTCACAAAACAATTAAGCAATTTACTGGAAATAATCACTGATGGGCCTGATGTTATAACTGGCCAAATATGTAAGAGGAAACAGCCCAAACCAGTAAAACTCAGAAGCAAGGAATGGGCCCAAGTGATGTATTGCAGCCCAATAAACCCAATCAGAATTAGGATTCACAAGTACTGTAAACCTTTGATTTCCTGTTTCTTGCTAGGAATTTTATTCGAAAAATATTTCACAGAACAGGGGGATGATACGGTTCTTAATCATGAAGTTCCGATGTGTACTTATATCAGAAGGAAAAGTTGAAAAATAGGATAATTTTTATTATTAGTAATTGTATTGGGAAACATGAGTAATTTTTAGTATGATGTGCCGTAAATGTGTTATCTATTTAAGAATTCCCAGAATCAGAATCTAAGTCTGAGAAATGTTCCAAAACCAGGGGAACCTCCAGATTATGACAAAATAACGATTTGTATTCAGCAATGATTCCCATATCTGAAAATAGCAGTCACCCTGAGTAGATGACAACACAACATTTAAACAACACTTTTCCATCACAAATAGATAACAATACATCATACTAAAAACTACTCATATAACGTATCTTTTAATACATTAATAGTAAGAATAATCATAATTTTCAACTTTACCTTTCTTCCTGTAGTTGTAAGCATGTAAGGGAACTTCATGATTAGGAACTCTATTAGGAACTCTGCCTCAAAAGCCAACTTTTGAGATGGGAGACCAACCCATTTAAATGCCCCATTAAGCATCCCACACTACTTAATGTAAAATTTAGTATGTAAAATTCAGTATCCTATACAACCAAATCTCCATCACACATCTTGAGCTTGAACTCCATGTCATGATCTCCATTTAGACAAATGGAATGTCTTCCATATTAGACATGTCAATGTAATGCATATTACTCCCACTATTCTTTTTTAAAAGAAACAACTAATCAAATCACACTGATAAAAAGGTTAAAATTAGTTAGACACAGTAAATATGTATACAATGTAACCTTTTCTCCCAGCAAAATGCCTTTACTTTGCCTCCCGGGGGGGTAAGAGAGAGAATTTACCATCTAAACAATTTACCTTGAAAATAAATGCAATGATATTATTATGATTAATTGAATGAGGACAAAATGGGGAATTAACCAAAAAAAAATTAGAGATAGCTTCTAAGTGTTTCTTATAAATAGGAACAAGCCACACCCAAAATTTGTCTCTTATAAAAAGGAATAGAGGGAGTATAAAATAAAGTTACCTCATGCAATAAAGAATAACATCCACTATTTCTCATAGCTAGCTTGCAATCATTCCTCTAATATTTTAACCAAGCATATGGTATCGATGATACATTGATCTTTCTTTTGCAATGCTTATGATAATTCATTCCATAATCTAACACATTTTTCATGAATGTAATGTGAATACAAAATCGAAATCTTCTCACAAATGTAAAAGGCCATTAGTTTCAGTTCATTGACATGCATTTTCTTTTACAATGTCAATCACGTCAACCAATATAGAATATATTAATATTAAATTTATACACAACTTGAACCACAACTAGTAGCAACACCTTGTTCAAGACCATTTTCTAGGATTAAAAAAAAAAATCTCCTTTTTCCCGACGCTTCCTTAACTTTGGCTATTTGTTTTTCATGAAGCACGTCATGTCATTTTAAATTCTTGACAACATTTAATAAAGTACACAAAAAATTAAAAAGATAACGAATGTGAATGTGATTTTTGACAATGACAATGTAAGCTATAATAGATTGGCAAGGCAAAGCACACAAAATGGAAATGAGTACTCCAACCACAAAATTTCTCTTATATGTTAATACTCCCGTCATAATCTTGCCAGTGAATTTTTGTCACATTTAGTCCATATTTGCAAGACAGCTCATCAATTTGCATTCTAAAAGGCAAGGAAATCATATCGCTGACATGCATTATATCAAAGCACCGAATAGTATTTCATTTCTTATTGACACAAGGCAAATCAACAGACATTTCCCCTTACTTTTGTGTCACGTGGCTTATCAATAATAATGGCAATAATACATCTCTAATATCAACAGCAGTAGCATTGATTCTCAATACAGTAGTAATATCGTTTTAAATTTTAGGGGCAGTTAACAAATTTTCAAAAGCCTTTTTCTATGATAACATGATTTCTTGATTCATCGTAAGAAACATGAAATCTTACGAGTTCAAGGGCGTTAACTTGATTAGTAGAATTTATTAATATATCATGATCACACAACTAATTTTTGCTTTAAAAGTGCATGAAATGAAATGATGCAATAAAAAACATCTACGCGTTTTCAATCAGGTTGTTCATTTTGCAAATAAAGGCTTCAACGTATCAAGAATACATGGACAAAGTCATAATGGTACAAGTAACATGCAAGATAAATTTTGTGGGCTTAAAGTTTAAATTTTAGAAAATTTCAGTTCCACCATTTTATGTGCATTGATTTCCTCATCGGTTAACTCATCCTACAATTTGTTGCCATTGTCAAGAATCACATTCACATTCCTAGTGAGATTTGGCTGACCTAAAAAGCACTTTTAGAAAGTGCTTTCATGCAAATCGAGAAAAAACTTCTCTTTACATGCTTACTTCGTATACCGTAAAACCATGGTTTGATTTCCACCCAAACACGCCCTAAATTCCAATATTACAAAAGAACTAGAAGGAAAAATTCCAAGTAAGCAACTGTTAAATCAAGAAAGTGATGCCAAACCTCAAATTATGCAAACTTAGACAAATTTAATATTAATGTTGTAATTGATGTGCTGGGAGTGACAAGAGAATAGGGATCAAATGCAAAACAAAGAGCTAAAACTAGAAGTTCGCCATTTGTCAGAACACTTTAATTTTGCATTCACACTACATTTGATGAAAAATGTATTACGAATCTAAAACGAAGTGTCAAATGCATGGAAAGGAAAGATCAAAATATCATGAACTCCATAAACTTGGTTAACATTCCACAGCAACAATTACAAGCTATGAAGGACAATGAATAACAACCATTATAGCATGAAGTAACTTTATTTTACATTATGCATTAATTTGAAGGATACTGATTTTGTGACTTTGTCTAAAAGGAATTGGCATGCGAAAGTAAAAGCAATTGAAGTCCTACAATGATGCTCTTTAGATTAGAAGACATACGTACGTACTCTCTAGTTTATCTTTTGAAGTTAGCAATAACTTGTCTCGTAAAGAGAGGACATTCTGCCATGAATAATGAGAAAAATGCACAATCTAATAAGAGATGTATGATAAATAATTGTCTAAGTACATATATGTTAATAGACGTTTTAAATGGAATTAAAAATGAGTAGATTATTAAATTTTTCTGAAGTGAAGATAAGGTTTCTTAAAATGGCAACAAGGAGAGTACTCAATTTGGAGCAAAGGAGATTTGTACAATTACAAAAAGGTTGTATTGCAAAGAGCTCTAAAACGTGAAGAAATGAGCCAGGGAAGTGGCAAAACTGACAAAGAAAACAACAAAGAAAAAGCGACAAGTCAAACATCATGAAAAGGAACCAACCACAAAAGGTGAGGAGTTAACCTAGGTAGACTGAAGACCAGTAACCAAATAAGGTCAGATGAGTATAGAATGAAGGGTGTGCATGTCATCACGTACCATCACATAAAGAACGTAGATTTTTTTGCTGTGGAGCATGGGGGCATATGGGATGTTACTTAGAGCTCTGGTCAATAGCAGTAGTGGTTGTTGAAGGGTGTGTGACAAGATGACATATAACGATTGGAATGATATATGGTCGCTCGAGTGGGAGATTGACCAAAAATGAGAAGGGAGATTTGAATAGCATTTAAGATATGGAAGAAAAGGGAGAATATTTAAAACGTAGTTAATGAGTTGTGACATCCATGAGGTTTCTTATTTTTTAGGGAAGATACAAACAAGACCTCAAAGGCTTAAAACTACAAAATATCTCTATTCACTACAACCATATCTGGCTAATCAAAGAAAAAGTCAAATTAATCTTTGTAGATTATAGAATAATATGGAAAATAATTTTCTTGTATTTCATTGCTCAGAATATGCACATATATATACAAGTGGGAGGAGCCTTTGCATTAATGGCTCATTATGATAATATCATATCATATCAAATCCTAATCATAATTACATAATATTTACATAATATCATATCATATCTCTACACTCCCCCTCAAGTTGGAGCATAGATGTTAATCATGCTCAACTTGTCACACAGATAGTCAACATGAGTCCCATTTAGAGCCTTAGTCAAAAGGTCGCGTAATTGATCACTAGAGCGCACATATCCAGTAGAGATGAAGTTCTCTTTAAGCTTGTTTCTGATAAAGTGACAATCAATCTCAATATGTTTTGTACGTTCATGGAACACAAAATTAGAGGCTATATGTAGGGCAGCCTTATTGTCACACCACAACTTTGCTGGCGAAGTAGTTTTGAGGCCAACCTCCTTCAGCAACTGATATATCCAGATTATCTCACATACAGACTGTGCCATAGCCCGGTATTCTACCTCTGCGCTTGATCGGGACACCA